AATCTATTTAGCAAACACCAACAATGACTAATTATGATCACAATATTAATTTTATTGTACCTTTCGACAAATTATTTCAAATCAGCTTAAAATAAAATGATTAACTAAATTTGTGCCAGGTCATTCAACTGTTTCTGAAGATTTATAAGAACAACTTCGCCAGCTTCATCTTGCGTATCTTGCTGTTGATCGATGTCTTCTTCTGGTAACTGGACTGTTGGCAGGTTAGATTGGCAGTCCTCATTCGATTGGCTCTTTACTGTCTTCTTGCTCTTACTCTTCACTGTCTTCGCCTTTCTCAAAAGGTTTCCTTGTAACTCGCATTGGCCAATGATAAATTTAAAATCTTTATTTTTCGTCAGGCTGATTGGATTTCCTATTAGTATCATCAGAGACTTGGCACGGGAGAGAAATACGTTCACACGACGCGGATTGGATAGAAAGTATGGATGCTTAAAAGAACTAACTAACGATACAATAATAATGAGCTTCTCGCGACCTTGGTAGCTTTCCACGCTGCCCACTTCCACTTTACGGTGTCCTCTTTGGCAGAGCATACGTTTTAAAAGTCGGCACTGTCCCAAATATGGAGTTATGATGCCAATCTCCTCCTGCTGCACTTTAATATCGCCACCAAGTCCGTCTTCGATCAGGCTCCTCACATACCAGCAGAGCACCTGCGCCTCCAGCTGGTTTAAGCTGCTGTTGGAGTGGGCCTCGCGCTCAGTTATCCCATGCGTGACCTGGAATAATATAGGGAACTTCCCATTTGGCAGCACGCTCCAGTTGGCGGCTTGGTTAACCTGTGACAGTGAAGCCATTGGAATTAGCTCACAATTGTAATAGAGCTTATTAAAGATCCCCACGATCTCCGGATGGGATCTGTAGTTCTGTCGCAGCCGTGACTGCAGAGTTCGGTCATAGTTTCCACTGGTGTCCACTTCGTACAGCTTGTTAAGTAGCAGGCGCTCCATAAGCGATTGTCCCAATCCTAGCGATTCCGCTCGATCGTTCTTTATGACCGCGCCCAACTGCTTGTGATCCCCGGAGAGTATAACATGGCAATCTTTTTCCTTAACGCCCGCAATGCCCATTAGCGCTTCCGCCTCCGATGGCGGTCCAATGATTGTGATATACAAGATTTTTTTTCGTCGCCGATCAACAGAGCTAGGGTCCGACGATCCGTTAGTTTTAAATTTAAATAACTATCTTTCGGTACAAGCACCAGTTGGTCAAGGTCAGGGGTCAGGGATCCCAATCGGAGATTATTTTGCTGTCTTCTCGAAGACGGACTTGGTAGCGATATAAAAGTGCAGCAGGCGGAGATCGGCGTCGTAATATCAGATATTTAAGGAGAATGAGGTGATTTATCAAAATATCTTGACAAACGAAGAAAGTTTTCCGATATATTTTGATTAAAAATATATATTATTTATTCAAGATTATATAAATGCATTATATGGTCGAAGAGCATATTAAATGACATATATAAAAACAATAGATGAGTTTCAGCTCCATTCTAAAGCTTTTAATCCCATTAATTTTGTCATTGTTCTGACTTGCAATTTTCACGGCAAATTTATGACCAACTGACCCGAGCACCATTAGCTCTAAGCCCTGTGCTCAGTGTACTATCTTTGCTGGCGAATCTTTAATTAAAGCTGACCTCCCTTCGTCCTACCCCATCGTCAAACTGTTTTCAAATTAAAACGTTAAACATTCGATTATCGCACTTTGCCTGAGACCGAAAATGTTTTCAGATCCAACGCAATTGCAGAAACTTTTTGCTAATGATGCAAGTCAAGGCGGACGTCGAAGCAGTTAGTCGACTTAAGGATGCCCTATATACGTAAGTATACAGTGTTTTAATTTAAAATGATTATTCCTCCTCTATATTAGCTTAAAACTTCACTTTATTTGTTATGTGCTCCTTCTTTTAGGCATTTCAATTCAACCAGTACGTAAACTGATTAAAGTTCTGAATTTTGTTTTCTTAAAAAGTTCACATAACAAAACAAATAAACGAAAGAGTATATAAAAAACCATGATACCTTTTAGCGCATTAGCTATGTACAGGGTGCCGTAAAAAGATAAAGATAGAGAGAAAGAGATAGAGCGATAGAACGTCAGAGCCGTGCGCCAAAAAGCTGACTACGTTTTCTGTCTGCGTCACTTTAATGTTTTCAAGCTTGGGCTCGTAAAATTTTATGCGTTTTTCCGGCATTCAGCAAATGAAAATTATCCGAAATAAAAGAACCCAACTTGCCAACTGCAGTCAACTTGAACTTGTGTAGCGCACAGATACAATAACAACAACAACAACAACAACCGCAGTGGTGGGTGGAGGGAGAGTGAGGCGGAGGTTTTGCCGCTCTGAGGGTTGGTTTGTCCTCGTCGCTGCTGCCTACTCGGATTCGCATTCGCCCCCTTTTGTGTTGTGTCTTTGCATTTTGTTTGGTTTTTATGACTTTGCCTGGTTGTTGGGTTGCCATTGTTTTTGTTGTTGTTGCTGTTGCTGTTTGGCCATTTCTCATTTTATGTTTATGTTTCGTGTTAATGTTGCATTTCATTTCCATGTACATTTCAGCATGCCCGCTGCCTTGGATTACCGCTTCCCTGCCCGCCAACAACGTTTGGGTATCCAACTCCGTCGCCATGGCACACACATAACTCAGCTCAGCTGTTGGTCCTTGGGTTATCCTTGTAGCGAGAGTCCAACAACCCCTTTACACGGCTTGCAACCTTTTGGGCTGTCTCTTCAATTCTCTGTCCGTCCGTGCGTCTGTCGTCTATCTGTCTGACTGGCAGCCAGTTGTCTGGCACTGGTCTGACTCCGGTCTAACCATGGCCTGACTCTCTTTCTGTTCCGCTTGCTTCTACTCAGCTGCTGTGGTCTTTTTGCCTTTGTCTGGTCGAGTCCATGTATTCATCAGTTCACACACTGCGCGAAATGTTGGAATTCATTCAACGATATGCCATTCGATTGTGAATGCATTCAGTTACTCTATAATTTCATTGTTTTTGCTGCGCCATAAACAACAGCATTTCTGTGGAACTGTAAACGTATCTAATACTTTGCATAGCCTAAACAATATACACTAATGAGTCAAGGCGACTTCTACAGATACAGATATACACATAGAATAGATGGAAAGTTGAGTATTTGAGGTATTCAAAATATCTGTGTGCATTGCATAAATTATTTGTTGGGATGTACAAATATTTAGACTCTGCAACTATTTTCATTTTTTGGAAACTCTTTTTTTACAAATGTTATAACCAATTCTTATTTTTCTCATCGCTAAAACCTGTCTGACAAAATATAGCAAAACTTATTCATTTTGTTTTAAATTAGCAAAATAAAGATAAAGTAAATAAAGCATTCGACTTGAATCAATTGATATGCCCATACAATATTCTATTATTTGTTTAATTTGTTTAATGTTGCAGGCAAAATTTCGCCTTTGTTGCGCCTAATTGAACATTCATTTCTAGCGGAAAGATTGCGACTGCGCTCGATGGGCAATCAGAACCCACAGATCTGACCCCAGCAACAGCTCCCTGTATGTCTGTGTGTGCTGATGAACGAGTCTATGCATATTGCAATAGTTTCTGTCTGCTTGCAGATATTTCAGGGATTGGCAACTACTTAACCACCCTTGGCCATGCAATGTCCATGGCTTCTTCAGGCAGTGCCAAACGATTTCGCTCCCGTTTCGAATTATTTAGCGACCTTTCAACGGAACTTGCGCACAGCCAGCTGCCGCCATTAAAATCAACTTCGAAAAACTACAAATTAATTAGTTAATTAATTAGCTAAAACACTTGAGTGCTGCGCGAGACGCTATAAATAGTTAGGGATTCCAGTGTCTTTGATGATGCTGCAGCGCCTTTGATCAGCTACCAGGCGGCGGTGCTGACAGCAGCAGCAGCAACTGCAACGGCAACTGCAACACATGCAGCACATGCAGCACAGATTGTGCATAAAACTTACACACGCTTTGTTTACATGCACACAGTGGAGTGGGAGTGGCAGGGGCTGGGGTGGGGTTGTGGCAACAACTGTTTGTTAAATTTATGCATTTTTCTGCTTAAAGGCAATGCAACTAAATGAACATCAATCACGTGACGCCGACGCTGACGAGGGCCAGCAGCAACACAACAAGAACAACTGCAACTGCAACTGCAACTGCCACAACTGCACTTGCCACTTAGATTTTCTTCACTCCATATCTCTTCTCTCTCTCTCTCTCTCTCTCTCTCTATCACACACTTGATCTGTGTGTCTGTCGTTTTGGCCACGCAACGTTGGCTGGGTACATGCATTGCATTGCACTTCCTGTGCCGGGTCAGGCAGGGGGTGCGGGTGGCAACAGGAGGTGTGCTGTGCTGCAACAGAAGGTTGTTGTGCGTGACGTATGCACATCAAAAGTTTTTGGTTTTTATCTTTCATCAGTCTTGTTGTTGCTGTTGTTATTTTGTTGTTGCTTTGGTTGCGTTTTTATGCTTTTTTACCTTCTCCAGTTTGTGGCTTTGGCCAGGCTAAAGCGCTTGCCGGAAAGGGAAGTCAGATGGCCGAGAAAATGTGAGAGATGGGGGAAATTTTGTTAATTTGACATTTATCAAATAAACCATTCATTAATATGTTGTAACTCCAACAAACTGTCAGTTTCGGTCCACCAAAAAACCCATTCACCCGGTTCTCAAACCTGGTTTTTGCTCAAGAACGTTTTTCAGCCTAGTTTCAAACCCATACAACTCATCACACAGATGAATTGCAATAAAATGAGGCATGCATATGTTTTCTCTCAGTAGCGATCTTTTTTTAAGCAAAACTAAAACTAAAATATTTTCCATTTTGAGAACGTTTTTTTTTTTTTTTACAGTTTATATTTACATCTAAGACGTGCGCTTGGGTTTTTAAATGTACTTACATACTTTTTGCCAGAGGTCTTTGGCATGGCATAATAGTCATAGTTATATAGCGTTTGAGTACTTACATATCACGCTCAATTTAGCTGGAGGCGAGGCCTGCCTGGCGCCGCTGTTAACGCTGGCTGCAATGCACACATAATCGCCGGCATCCTCGCGTTGCACCGACTCGATATGCAAATTGGAGCCGATTTGCGCGACGCGCCTGTCATACACAATTTGCTGACCTGCAATGCCATTCAGCGTAGAGTGCTGCATTAGTATAATGTTGATTTGATGCCACCGGGTCCCTAGTACTCACCATTATGCAACCACTCGTAGTGCAAATCGCCGGAGGGTCCTGTTGCCTCGCAGCCAAAGTCAACGGCATCGTTCTCAATGATGGACTGACTCTGCGGCGGTTGAATGAATCGCGACGAGCTCGCCAAGCTGGGTGCTGTTCAAGGCAGAAAATGTATTAATGTTTGAAGAGCTGGCATAAGAATAATATCTATACACAAGAGCCGACAGTTAGAGTATCGGCGTAGTCCCCTTTTTTTTTGCCTTTAGGCATATAAATTTTCATATTCGATACTCTTGTACAATATATAATGTATAGAAGGAGACATCTGCGACCCCATGAGGCTTATATATCCATATCTGTCTATCCATCTGTCTGTTAGTCTATGCAATGCAAAACCCTAACACACCCAAAACTTCCAATTGGCATCATTCAAAAGTCCTGAGGGCCATCTACTTTGAACTTTTTTTCAGACAGCAGCAAGGGTTGGGCAGTTTAATATAATTAACAAAAAATTGCATTTACCATAATTGCGTTTAATTACAGTGGTTTAAGCAAATTAAATGCGCTTAAGCGGCTTAAATTACAGTGTTTAAGCTAAATGCAATTTTGTTAAGCGCCAAATGGCAACAACAACATAAAATTACAAAGCATAAACACAGGCGCAGTTGCGTGTCGGCAAAACACAAAAAATTACACACAATATGTGCTTGAAAAAACACGTATGAAACATGTAACAAAACGAACTCCAAATACCCTACACAGAGAGCAAAATGGTGGACTTAGAGACGAGCATATCGATACATATTTTTATTAGTAAAAAGCCCGAATCTAGTATAATTTGTTTATTAAGGTATAGCGCTAATTAATATTAGGTAAGTTCAAAATTGTGTTTGAGTAAACAACATTTAAGAAAAAAATCAATTGAACTTATATTTTTATAATAAAGTTTATTGATTGACTGAATATATATCTTTAAATCATTTAACTATCGTATCGATATACTAGGAAACCAAACCAGAAAGTCGCCTTCAAATAGATATCTGGAATATTTAAACAGATTGGATTTGTATAACTCTAGAATTGAGGCAAACGTTTTCCTAAAATAAAACGAACCCCCAACCAGATCCAAATCATCTATCTAATGAGAATTAAAAACAGTTCGTAATAAAACTCAAATACCCCGCAGTAGGGCATATATAATGGAGAAGCACAACACAACAGAGGCCTCTATGCTGATGCACAGAGCCAGCATAATTAAAAACTCGGGGCCATAAAAAAATACAGTTAAGCAAAAAATGCAAGCGAATTGTTTAATGCAATCAGCAGGCCGCAAATGGAATTTATGGCAAATATTATTTTTATTTTTGGTTTAGTGCAAAAATAATGAAACAAATATGATCAAAGCCAGGGTATTATTGCATATTAAAATGCATGTGCACATGTGCATATGTTACAATAATATTTTGCATATCTACAAAGGCTGGGCAATTTTTATATGGATAACGTATATTGAGAGTTGGAATTTACATTTACAATTTTCAGCTAGAGTTGAAAATGAACTGAAAATTCGCTGGGATTCGGAAGTAAGGCTTGAATTCCTTGATGTATCTTTCAGCATATCCTTAGAAAATCTACTGTTAATACATTTTTGTAATTGGGCGCAAATTGAATTAAGATTTTAAATGGCATAGTAAGAAAAACAAAAAATTCAATACTATTAAGGTCTTCGCCCAAGATACTTGAAACATTTTGAATTTAAGCCCGGGACTTCACTTGCACCAAAGGACTTCAGTATACATATATTTCTTTTATTACATTTTTGCGGATTAAGCTCACGCTTTTGTACATAAAGATTAATATTATAGTTATTAGGCGCCAACTTGCAAGAATCTGCATGCAACTTACAAACACACTCACACACACACACACACACACACACACACACACACCTGTTTTACCTGCAAGCAAAGAGCGAAGTAAGTAAAAGAAAACTTGGCAAAGCAATTCAGCAGCGATTATTTTTGATTGTGGTACGAGCCGTGTGGCTTTTCTTGTGGAGGGAACAAGAGCAGCAACTACAAAACGAAGACCATTATATTTGGGCACTAATTGAAGCAATTTGAGAAAACACCTCGACATGGCAGCACCAGCTCCAGCTCCAGCTCCACTTTGAGGCGGGGCAGGACACGGAATCAATAAGCGCTCCAAAGCTGCGAGCAACATCATTAAACTCATTTCGTTTGTACTCGTTGTTGTATTTCCAGCTGCTATTGTTGTTGTTGTTGTTGCTGGTGCTGCTGCTGCTGGTTGGGCTTTTGGCAAATCAGATGCCAGTCACATAGCCAGCGACGTGTTATGATACACCACAAAGATGGAGCCACAAAGTCAACCACAAAGGCTGTCAGCCAGGCGCTAGGGAGGCTCCCTGCCAGCCCGCCAGCCAAGCAGAATCGATTTAATTTGTTGCTGCAACCAGTTAAAGCAACCGCTCCCCCTCCCCTAGCACTCATCGAAGGAGCAGTCAGTTACTGGGCGTCGATTAAAGAAATATGCGCCCCCGGTACGGCTGAGCTCGATTCGGTTTGATTGCGCTGACGTGGGCAAAAAGTCAAGCGCAAAGTTGTGCGTGGACCAGAGGACCAGCGTGGAGTTGAAAAAGAAATTAAGGGACATGTCGATAATTGAATACCCTTTTAAAGTGTTTTTATACAATATCATACGAGTTGTCTGGTTATGTGAGACAAATTGTGAGGCTCGTAATTGCTGCCTTTTTCTATATGAAATCAATTTCATTTCATTCTTTTTCTTATTTGATATAGACTTCTGATATTTTGCTCAAATATGGGAACATGGGAAAGCAATAAATACTAAGTAAGGTGAACTTTTGTTAAAAAACAAATAAGTTTTTCATAAAAGAACAACATTTTTGTCCTATTGCTGTTTTATGTTGGGATGTTCGATCCAGTCTTTGTACGGATTGATCTAAGGAGTTCTGGGAAGTTAGCCTTAAAACCGAGAGACTAATTTGGACAGAAACGTGAAAACAGCTATTGATACTGATCAAGAATATATATAAATAGTTGATGCAATCAGAGATGACTCCGCTCACGCGTCACACATTTGTTGACAGAATTCACAAACTCTCTGGAAGGGTGTATGAACTGTGTTGATGTGGCGCAAGAAGGTACCGTGCAGCTGTCTCTGCCTCCCTATCTGTCTATCAGATGGTCAATCTTTCAGTGAGTGTGTGTGATGATAATTAGTTCGTTTGTTTGCGCTACATTCGAGTGTCCGAGTTCCAATGCTGAAATCAGCCAGTCAGCGACCAACTGCTGAGTCTGCCACAAATTGTGGGGCAACATTTGTCGATTAAGCGCAATGAATGCGAAAATATCGCTGTAATAATCAGGAGTCCAAAACAGCGATTCGTGTGCCTCAAGTGGCAACACGCAACACAGTCAGCACTTGAACTAGTCCCTGCTGCTTGTTATTGTTATTGGAGGCTGTGCCACCACAGAGCCAGAGACAGATACAGCCCCCACTCCCCACAGACGCGATGGGTGGCGTTTGATTTGCTTTGGCTGGCCAAAGTAGAAAACAACAATAACAAAATGGGAAAAACTCAACTGTCACTCAAGAATTTCTGGCATTTTTACAGTCAGCGCTGGGAAAACCTTTGGAAAACTGCAAGTCAACATGGGAAAGGCATTTTAACAGCAAAACAGTCAAATGAAAAGAGTCAAACAGATAGAGCAAGCGAGGGAGCGAGAGAGAGCGAGAGATAGAGAGAGAAAAAGAGAGAGAGAGAGAGGGAACTGTGAATGGAAGCTTGAAATGAATGTGCATGACAATTACCCGTCAAAAGTTTGATGTAGGGCTTACAACAGGGCCAAAATGAACAACAGAATCAAAGTAAACTGAAATGGAATACCATAAAAAAGTAAAAAGGCAAAAATCAACAAAAAATTTAACAAAATAAAAGGATGTCCATTTGTGCGTAGTTTATTTTTATAGAATTTGTCATTGCAATGATGCGCCATTTTATACCCTGTTTTCAGAGAAAGTGAGAGATGTGTGACACAGATAGTAATAAAGATTTTCGAACCCAAAAAGTATTTAAATTGAAGCTCAATTCTCTATATAAGTGTCTGCGTACAAGGACTTCTTTATCTGCCCATATATGTGCCTCGTCTATATATGTGGTCTCTGGGTCATTAACACAGTATTTGAACAATTTTATTAAAATTATTCTGAAGCATTTCGCACGTTTCGAAACATCCACTCTTTAGAGTGGAAAATGGAATATTATATGGTCATTTAACAAGTAAATTTCAAGGTAATATAACCAGATTTAACTTTTCCACATTCGAAATACGGATGGAAGATAAAAACTTAGACCCAGTCAAAGCTGGTTATTAATAATTTATTATTTCTTAGACTTTGAGATAAAATGAACGCATGCAAGACTCATTTCATAATTTAAAAAAATATATACATACAAACGAACTTTTCCCCTGGAACATCTGCTCAGATTTACCAAGCCAAAAGCTAAGCCCAAAAATATATTTATAAGGCATCTTTTTTCAGTCATCCTACTGCCCGCTGCCCCCTCGCCAGCTCCAGAAACTCGTTTAATAATTTGAAGTAGTTTCAACGAGGCTTCAGACCATCTAATCTGAACACAACGAAACAATGCACAGTGTGAGGGACCCTAGAGATTTGCAATACACGTCTAATTCATGCAATTATGAGTGCTCGACATGAACTTAAAGTTTGCCATTGGTCTGAAAAGGGGGCAAGTTGTATTATGGGTTGCATATTCATATAGTTGCTGCCTCATGTCAGCTGCCAGGCCGCATTTCGGTCTCTCTGTGTGTGTGTGTGTGTATGTGTGTGTGTGTGGGTTGGCTGGCATGGCATGTTGCATGCCGCATTTTGCATGCTTGAATAACAAATTATGAGTGCCACACAAAGACTCGCACTGAGAGAGAGAGAGAGACTGCCTTATTATTTGCCATACAAATAATGGACGCTGAGCGTTGCACAGATTTCAAATGTGCACCATGCCACAGGCAACGACGACGACGGCGACTGCGACTGGGACTGGGATTCTGTTGCCTGGCTCTGGTTCTGATTCTGACTCCGGTTGCCTTTTGTCTGCGGCTGTTTGCCTTTGTGCTACTTAACAGTCAGCAGTTTTCAGCGTGTCCTGTCAAACACAAAAACACACGCACAATCATTTATATGGCATATGGGTATGTGTTTATGTGTGCGTGTGTATCTGTGTGTAGTTTTGCATAATTATGCTGCGCTGCCAGCTCCGACGGCTCCTTGTAATCGCAGAGCGTCAACTGCATTTGATTAGCTGAATTTTCGGCGTCGCTTGTCTCACTTCAAGTGCCAATGGAGATCCTTTATGTCTGTCCCGCATGGCATGTCCTGGCATTCTGTCTAAGTGTGTGTGTGTGTGTGTATTCTTGGCTTTGTTTGCCTTTCTTGCGCTTTGTTATTTGCCTAACTACTTTATTTTGAACTTGGTCGGCATATCCTTGTAGTTCGCTCATCACTTTCCTTGAACCTCCTCTCGACTACCTCTCCCGCTGCTCTTGGGCCGCTCTGTGGTCCTCTGTGGTCCCGGTCCGCCCGGCTGCCTGTTAATTGACTCATTTTGCGCGCCGTTTGCTTTCAAAATTCAATTGCACCGCTTGCTGTGGTCTCTCGGCCGGCGGCTCACTTCTCGGCTTGGTTTCGTAATATGAGCTCAATGTGGTTGGTTTCTTTGAGAAGCCAAACCTTTTGAAGTATACAGAATTCGCACAATGAGCACCTACTTGGCCTAAGCAGGCAAATAGAAAATAGAGACGACTTATTACGGTAGCCGGCTTTGTATTGCAGCCAGCTTAACCGGAGCTAGCACAGTTTTACAATATATATATATACTTATTTTTGTTTCATAAGGTAAATTCAAATGATCTGAGTTAAATTTTGTTGCCTAGTGAAATGGCTTTTAAATTAAGCCTAACAGTTGATGAATTCATTTATGGTAAAAATTTATAAAGGTAAAAATATTGCAATAACTTTTATAACTAACGTTTAGCCATGTAGCTGTAAGCTATATTATATATAATTCATGTTAGATTCGTATCCCACTTTGAGCATAATTAAAACAAACTTTATTTGTTCATCTTATTTTTGATTAACTTCCCTTATCGTGTTGTTACTGGAGAGCAGGCTATAAGAATTCCATATTGATTCTCAAGTTGATTTGATTGTCGACATATTTCTAATTACTTAAATGGAGAATGCTACTCGATGCTCTCAACTTATTGTTGCACATGAGTTCAATTACTTTTCAATTGAGCATGAATATTTGCTCAGTATTAATACGAGCCGTTTACTGCCGAAGTCTGAAGGACAACTCCAACCACAACTACTTACACTCTCTTTTACCATTTAGTTTAAAATCTTTATTTATTTATATCTATTCATATATATATTATTTTTCCACTTACCCAGCACAGCAAACGCCAGAGCGAGCATTAAGAACATGCTCATATCCATGTTGGGTATCCTCAGTCAATTCTTTGTCGAGTGTCTGGCAGTCTCTCGGAGCGAGCCAATTAGCAAACTGTATGATAACACGACACACACACACACACACAAACACACACACAGAGAGAGAGAGACACGGGCACACTCACGTTGATTCTGGATATTATGTGCTGACAAACTGACGATATACTACTCAAACTGAAACTTCCCTCGATGCACGTATGTACGGATGTATGTATCTGTGTATTTGGGTATATCCCTTTAGCACAGTGGGGTATACTCGTAAGTGCAGCCACTCGAAAATGCACTCCACTCAACGCATGTGTAAATATTCAATATTTGGTTGCCAGCCCACAGTCGGACGACGACGACGACGACGACGAGTCCAACTGGTGACTGCCTTTTTTAACGCTTTGCTTTGTATCTGTGGGGTGGCTGGGCGGGTGGGGTTGTGCGGCGGGGCTTGGTATTTACTATAGACACTCAAATTAAATTGGTATTTACATAGTTGGAACGCATGAAATGCATTTATCACTGAACACGGCGACCAAAAGCAACAAAGATACGCAGACGTTTCACGGCACTTGCTTTTTTATTTTTTTTTTATTTTCTTTTTTAATTTTTTTCTTGTTTTGTTGTTGCTGCTGCTGGCTTGGTTTATGTTTCGTGGTTGCGTTTTTTATCAGCGCCTAGATTGACAAGCGACAAGCAGCCAAGATACTCGTTGCCTGCTGCTCGCTGCTGGTGCTGTGCTGTGCTGTCATCAAATTGTAATGGCAGCGACACCGGCACCGACAAAGGTATCTAGATACACAAAATGCAATGCCGAAGACGGGGCCGCAGATTGCCCGTGTGGAATGGGTTGCAGTTCAATTACCCAAGCAGCGGACAGGCGACGGGCAGAGAGAGGGCTGGCAGCTTAAAGCCGAACCGTAATACCGTGGTAGACGTACGTACGTTTAAAGCGTAAACGAAGCGCACACAAGGCGAGCGCAACAAATCAACTTAATTTGTATCCCAAAGATACAAAATATTCAATGCATTGCATCCTTGACGTGCCTGCGAACCGAACCGGCTTTTATTTTTGTTATTGGTGGGTGCTTTGCTTCTTCTTCTTCTTCCTACTCTTTTTTGTGTATTTTTATAGAGCGAGCGCGAGCGCGACTGCGAGGGGTCGCCGTAGCAGCTGGCAGATACAGATACGTAGCGGCACGGTCGCAGATACACGGTACACCAAATCGGGAGAACCGCGTGCGTTCGACGTCTGTTTATTACTGAAGACATGCGGCAGTCGGAGTTGTTTGTGGAACCGGCTTTTAATGTTGCCACATACTGGGAATGCCTCTTTATAGCTTAGCGCCTGTTTGCCGGTCTCGGCGTGTGTGACCAGTATTTTTGTATGTTTTTGAACAGTGTTGCCGTGCGACTGCTTGCAAATACTGGGCTGCCTGGCATGGCGCGAAAACGGGCCGCTTTTGAAATTTGAAATTATGGAAAATTTCGTTGTTGATGGGGCAAGTGCAATAGAGCGAAAGAGGTAATTAAATTTTTAATTGAACAGAATATAAAAGTGTACTGTAAGGTCTGAATTGAATTATCTTTAATGCAGCATTTTTGTCATATTTATTGTCAATGGCTAACACTATTATATATTAAAATATAAATGAAAATATAAATTATATATTAAAATATTAATGAAGTCAAAATATTCGAATTAACAAGCGGTTACAGTGCTTCAGGATGAAAACTATAAAGGAATAAGAAAATATTTTTTAGTTTCAACTTAAATCCTGTCTAAACTGGTTCATACCAGACCAAATATTTTAATTTATGTATTAGTAATATTTTCTCTTTCTCTAAGCTTTCTCTTTTAATATTCTCTCTAAGCATTATCTAGTTAATCATTAATTGTATGTGTAGTCATAAAAGTCATTAAGCTGTCGCGCAATTTGAGCTGGCAACCTTTCGCTTGTTAGTCCGACGCTCAGATTTTGTTTTATGCGTATTACCCTTAACACGATTATTATCTTTTATTTTAGATTATTACAGGATAATATGTGATTTCGAGATAACTCAATTCATTCGTGTAGGCCTGACTGGAGGCCTTGAGAATTAATGTATAAATCAATGTCGGCTTTTAAATCAGTGTCAATTAGAAGTTGGGGCTAATCTCTTTCGATCCCCACAGACAATGCCAAATGAAGTTATCAATAATCAGCAGTTGCCCGGCACATCCCGCGACTCTAAACCCAAACAGTAATGCGCCTTAATGACCACGAGCACGAGCTGGCGATGATTACAATGTATATAAAGTAGCTGGGCTAGCTGGACTCGTGTGGAAGTGGATTGGGTGGGTGGCTTGCTGTGTTTATGAGCGGACGCACGGCTGGAAGGCTGCAATAAGCTTCCGTCCAAGACACAATGCGACTGTTGACTACTGTGCGTGGTACTACCGATTAAATGTGTGTGTGTGTGTGTGTGTGTGTTTTTCATTTTATAGTTTTCCGCTTTTTTTACGATGCCTTTCAACCCCCAAAAGAGCGAGCCCGTACCCAAAACAATTGCAACAGATCCTGTCGACGCGACCGACCGACTGACACCCAAAGGTCATAAAATGCCGTTGCCATTTGTATAAATGTATATACTACTTATATATATATATATATATATATATATATGTTGAGGGGTGGTCTTTCTGATTAACAACGGCACAGCCCTGGGACTGCGGTTATCAAATGCCATCCAAAATGTTGGGCCCGTCAATGCGCTTTGCCATCCATTCCTATGCCCAGCGACAGTTATTGATGTCATAAAGTTGGAGATTTATGTCTGTCTGCCAATTTGGGTTTATATTTTCATTGTTTGAACGAGCGGGTCACGGGTCCGGGGAGGATCGCCCCAGAACAGGCAAATGTAGTGTTAATAATCAAGGCTGCAAGCTGAACAACCTTTTTTTATTATTAGTGGTTCGGTTCTTTGTTCCAAGCAATGACTCGACTTAAGGTTCGGTTCGAGAGCTAGCTTATTGAGATTCTTTAGGCAAATCCTGATTTAAACTGGTTCGCTGCAAAATCGTTTACAGCTTAGTTCATAGTTTATTGAGAAAACTGAAAAAGTTCAAAGCTAAAACAGTCTGTACCCGATCAAACAAAAAAACCAAAAAAAAAAAAAACTAGAATAAATAGGTACTTAAGTATTTACGTCTAAGCATAATATATGCGTGTTGCTGGCTGAGTACTACTACTATAAATATATATAAAGCTGCTTACCTTAACTCAACGCCTCGTATAATTTTACTAGTATATATGTGTGCGTGTGTATACTCTATATATACCTTTATATATACCATATATATCGGCAATGTCTGCAGACATCAAACATTTAAAGGCATTAAAATAAATTTTAGTAATGCGGCCTTTGCGTAGACTAAACAAAATAAACATATTTCGAACAACTTTTGGAGGTGTTTCGCTGCATTCTCTCCGTGCACACACTATAAACAAATGAGACGAAAAAGTATCCATAGGAAACAAAAATAAAAAAAAAACCAGATAGTAAAACAACATGTAAGAGTGCTATAAGCAGGGCTGTGCTCGACTAGAAGATACCCTGAGCCCAGCGAAGTGCTTCATTTACCCTCAGACACTATGGAACGTACGTTCTTGATTAACTTTGATGTTAGTCGAATATGTGTAAATACCAAAATCCAAAGATATAGTTCCATAAATACGTTTTTTTTATATAATTTCGAATCTGCTTTACCTTTATACTAGATTTGTCTCTAGCTTGTTGCAAACCTCGAGATGTTGAGAATATCGGATCGATAGTTTCCAAAAGACGGCCTTATATATATATATATATATATATAAATTTTTTTTTTTTTTGTTTGGTAAATCGTCTTCTGTCTGTTACAAACATATGCAACACTTTAGTATACCCCTTTTGGTTAGCCATTGTCAATGGGTTCAAGGTATAAAAATAGGGAAATACGGAAGGGCAGAGGCCCCAGCAACGAGTTTTAATGCATGTCGATGTCGTCGCCAGCGCCGCCGCAGATCAAAGGCAGCCAATGGAGGAACCAGTGCGACGCGGTATAGGGCATAGGGAATGAGTGGAATGAGGGGAAGGGGTGGTAGGAGGGATCGTTTAATTGCACTTGCCGCTTTTTATCTGTGTCCATGTGTTGGTGCCGCTCTGCTTGGAGCTCTGCCCGCAGCTCCGATTGTCAGTTAACCTGCGCATGTGTAGTTGCCTTTGATGTGTGCCTGGGCTGGGCTGGGCTGGGCTGGTGTTGGGCTATGGGCGCATTTGTTTATGCGCGAGCTATAAAAAACCATAAAATATGCATAAAACGCATACGCAAAAAGGCATTTGCGACTGAAGCTGAACAGCAGGCAAACTTAATGGAAATGAATATGAAAATGGAACTTGAAATGAAAACTGAAAATGAAGCGATTAAGTGCAGACGTTGGCAATCGACTGGAAATTGTCGTTGGGCGAATCGAGGAATTCAGTGGGTAGTGAACCACGTCCACATAAGAGCCTCTCCTGAGAAAAGTTGCATAAAGATATCAGGAAGTTGAATTCCATGTTGTGGCATAGAAGTTGGAGAACTTTCTGATAGAGTCAAACTCAATATATTGTTATTTAAGAAAACTAATTTATTTAGAATTTATTTTTTTTCTTCGACGAGAAACAATTTCTAATTTATTTTAAGATTTTCATATAATTTTTTCAAAATCATTTTTAGATATCTATAAGTATCTGATTAACTCACATTAAACGAATATTTGAAGTATTTTCAAAGTTATATATTTACTTCAATTTTCGGCTGCTCTGGAATACCTTGATTATCTAACCAATTTTATTATAACAATCATATTTGTAATTATATTAAAACAATATTCTGCAAGTGGAATCTCAACATTTCAGTTCATCTATTTCAGATTCGCCATCTTAGACATTACCCAGGGGAATGTAACTGCTTAGTTTTTTTTTTATGGCCATTTCATTTGCAGCTGAATGGAATTTGTGCTGGGGATTGGGGGATTGTCTTGTACTCGTCACTTGGCACATTATATTGCTTTGCCGGCTGCAGCGCTCATAAAAAGTACATAAAAAACTGTTGAGCATTGCCGCATCGTGTGCTTTATGGGGACGCCAAGTGGGCAGCGAATGTACGGCCGTAAAATGTTCCATGCGATACATGAGTTTTACGATAGAATTCCCAAACTCCGCGCCATAACCATTCAAGTGGAATTTTCGGTTGCACTATAAAATGGGGGCTCTATGAGAGCTATAAAATATTTATTCTACTAAAAAATAACTGTACATGAATATATACATAGATATACACAAATATAAATATAGATATATATATATATATATATAGATAAATATAAATACAAAAAGTTTTAGGTAAGGGCTTCACACGTTCAACAAACAAATGGGATTAACATATGTGGAGTGGCCAGCGACCAGCCATAAGAGATCATTGAAAGTGGCAACTGGAGAGCCAAACATTCCACTGCCATGTCCTAAACAATATCATCGGCCACCTGTGACTCCTGCTCCAGTATGGTGCTCTCGCGCAGTTTGCTCTTCAGGTTCTTGCTGGAGTTCGCCTCGGTCAGGCAGGGCTCATGCTCGGCATGCTCATGACCATCGGCATCGGCATCGGCGGCTGCATGCGCTGCATCATCCAGCTGCACCTTGCCCATGTGGCGACGATAGCGATACCACAGTTTCAGGCCCAGTACGAGCACAAAGTAGAGAAATGCCAGGCAAATGATCACAATTATAATGCGTGTCACAATTGAGTTCGAGGCAGATTTATTGCTCCTGACCACCAGTAGCACCTCCTCCCGCTTGAAGCCCGCACTGCTGCCAATGGTGCAACCATATCGTCCCTCATCCTCCGCCTGCACATTGTGTATCTCCAGCGTGCCGTTCTCCAGCAGACGAAACCGTGCCGGATCTGTGTTGTTCTCGTTCAGATAGGCCAAATCCTTGTCCCATTGTATCGTTGGCTTTGGCTCACCCGTAGCCTGACAGTGCATGACGGCGACATCCGCTTCGCTCACCTCAACGGGCCCCACGGGCGGCACACTGAACTTGGGCGCCACCACCACATTGATGGACACTGTGGCACTTATCTGACCCTGGCTATTCGCTGCAAAGCAGGTATATTGACCCCGCTGCTCATTGGTAACGCCTCGAAATATCAGCGTGCCATTGTGGTCCGTCACATTTGCCGGCAGTGGCAATTGTGTTTCCTAGCGGAAGATGTGGAGGCTGTAGTTGACTCAAACTAGCAGCTATGCGTAGCCTCAGCACTTACCCGCATCCATTTAACTTGGGGCACCGGCGTGCCCTGAGCCTTGCAATGCACCTTGCTAACGCTGCCCAGTTCCAGATTTTTTGAAGTCGGCTGCGGCATGAATTTCAATTGCTCGATCACCTCCAGTGTACCGCTGCCCGAGCTGATCGCCGATTGGCCCTCCACAAGCAATTGGCATTGATAGACGCCCGCATCGCTGGCCAAAACGCTGGCAAAGTGCAGCGTGCCGGTCTCCTTGTTGAGCGTGAGACGCGCATCCTCCCTCAGCAATGTCTCCAGCTGCGGCTCGCTGGTGGTGCTGCTCGCCTGGCCCAGCTCCGCCAGGCGCAACGTTTTGCCATCTTTGCGCCAGCGCAACGTGACGCTGTTGCTCTGCCTGAGCAAATCCGGCAGCTGATAGACGCAGGGGATTTGGAGCACGCTCTGCTCCTTAACGGTCAGCCGTCCTTTGGGGCCCTGCGTAATGCTGACATCCGTTGGTGGCGCTGGCGAAGCTGTAAGATACACAGTTAAGTTGTTGCAACATTCGGTGGCAAGCAATGTTGACTCACCGCGCAGACAGCTGCAAGCGCACAAGATCAGAGCGCAGCCCAGGAACAGCCGTCTCACGTTTATCTGTGACTTCATCATGGCGCGACTTAAAGAATTTCTTTGATTTTGCGTTCGCCTTTTTCTTTCTTTTTTTGTTTTTCGTTTAATTCTCTTTTGTGGTTCGCAAAAAAAGAACAAAAATATAAAAAAAAACCGGTGTGCGGGCCTGCTCTTTATAATTTGTGAGGCAGGAATTTTTCTGTTTCCGCCCGTTTCGTTTTCAATTTTCCACAGCTCAGCTTCAGTTCATTTCACTTGGCACAGTGGCGGCCAAACTGCCGCTTAATGTTTATTTTTATGTTACGCACACGCGTCACGCTTAATTATCCTGCTGCATAGTCCGTAACCGTGGGAGCAGAGCACATTCAGCCGACAACCGCATGCGTTCGCATTCAAAATTGAACTGACGCCGCGGCGAGCTAATTTAAGGCTGGCCAGGCGGCACGAGCCGGTCGACGACGCATGCGTTTTGAACTGTGCCCAGTATTTGCCAGTATTATGACTACTACTACGCGGCGAATGGAACTCTGCGCAGCACCTACGTTTTTATCCTATGGAAAAAAGTGTTCACACACCTCCTTTATTTGCTTTTTTCTTTTTAAATCTTTTTAATCAATGATTTCTTTATAATACTCAGTTATAATATTAAGCTAAGCTATTAAGCTAAGATATAAGCCTAGCAATCCTTCTACTTAATCAGTTCTTTAATATTAGATATATTTTGATTATAACATGCTATATAAGTTCAAAAGAATCTATTGCTTATTTATAGGATTATACAGTCTAGAATTGAGGTATATTTGCTACACGACTATAAACAGTTTGACGTTTGGCCACTCGGAAGGGACATCGTGTCATCATTTTGTAGACAATGGCACTGCACAGCACAAAAAGGCCCCAAAACACATACGTAAAGAGCAGTATAAAGCGATTGGGGTGCCACAGGACCGTGTAACTTAGATTATAATTTTCTGAAAAAGATGCAAATAAGTTGAATGCTATCGCCTTTCTAGGTCGTCACACACTCACCTAGCACCGCATAGCCCATACCAATCTTGGATTTACCCATGCGATACGAGCAGGTTGGCACCATAATCTCTAGGTAGCTGTGCTCCTGTTCCTTGAGCGATTTCAGATCAAAATGCCGCACGGCATTCTCATAAAAATTAATTACTTTTGTCGACGGGTATATAAATATGCGCGATTCGTGCCAGTGGCCAGAAAATATTATATGTGGATCCAAATCGCTAATAACGGCGCGTAACAGCGGCCCACCGCCAATAAGCAGTGGTGCATGGGTGACTCCAATGCGTAGACGTTCGGCATTGTGCTCCTTATCTGGATTTGTGAAATCCAATAGCATGCGATTTATCTTAAAGAAACGTAAATGATTGTCATAGTCAAACAGATCCTCGCTCATAAAGTTATTTTCAAAGCGTCGCTGATTTGAGTTGGAAATGTAGTCGCCATTGTCGCCGCCAATGTCGTTATCACCCGGCACATGAACACGCTGAAAGTAGGCAGAAATCATGCGAAACTAAGTATATACATCGATTGAGTAAGGTATAAATGCAGGCATTTGTGTACATACATTTGTTAGTTGCTTATTCCTATAGATACGCTTGAAGCGCTGCACATATTGCTTGTATTCCTGTGCGGTAGCTATGTTACCCTCATCGAGCAAATCTCCCAGGAATACTATAATGTGTGGTTGTGTAAAGGATACGGCACGCTCAAAGGATTTCTGTAGATAACGGTCCAAGTCGTAACGCGCAAGCGGACTGTGCGATGAACGATCGTAGGAGGTGCCTAAGATTTGTGGGTCTGCAATAAGCAGCAGACGTGTGCAGTTTTCTGCAAGAAATCATCGAATAGGTCACTCATTAATGTTGGTTAATCGCTTTAAAGATCTTACCCAGCTTGCAATCGATTGAGTTCCAGCTGGACTGCGCTATATAGTAAATAAGTACTTCATTGAAAAACATGAGCAGCAACGTCAGCACAACAAAGCCACGACAGACCAATCTTCAAGAGATTAGGTTACTGTTATAATCATACGTATTTCTTGCAAGGCACTTGTCGTAGACATGTACTTACCTATTGACCACGCGCAAAGAAGCCATAATCATGCTGGGCGTTGGGCTACTTTGCTTGATTAATTAGACGCTGCATATAATTGTAGCCGATTGTGGGGCATTCCTTGCAACATTGCGTTAGCTGCGTATGTCTATATTTAAAAATGCATATGCAGAATTTACGTAAGTTTTGCGTTGATTATGTTTCCACTTGAGAAGGTGCTGGCACCTCATGCAACTGACGACTGGATCGCTTGCGTTGGGGGACTGGCACACTCGGCGCTGTAGTGCCTAATTAAATTAAAGAGCATTAGAAGGGCTGTGGCTGATTATTAGAGCAACACAGCGAGTGCACTTACCACAGCGCAGCCGGTTGGATACTTTGTTGATTTCCACTTGGCGACGCTGGCAGCCATGCGCACCTATTGGTTGTCATGAGAGCGAGCTCTGCTGGCAGTTTGAAATTTAAATACGAGCAACGCCGTTAGAGGCTGTGCCGTAAGCGCTAACGGTCGGCGCATTTAAACTTCGCATTATCATTCTCAGATCACACAGATAAGAAAAACATTTGTATATAGCCTTCGGACAGCTGTTAATGAAAATACAGCATGTTAACGCGAATCGGAGTAAACGTAGTATGGAAGCGCAAAATTGAGGCGAGCTATTGAAATGCAACCCGACCAGGCATGGTTGCTAGTCATCAGCCACATTTCACAACATCTGGCCACACTGTGCGGTAGAGTAATGGCGTGCCATTCCGCACAAAAAGTGCGCTGTTGAAATTTTTCTTGCTGACAACAAACGCATCATAATTTACAGCTGAAATAATACAAATAATTGAAAATGACAACATAGTGTGCATAAAAAGTGTTTGTATGGTATATTTTCGGATAAAACTGAGCGTGCTTGTGCTTTAAAAGTTCGGCATCGACTAATAGAATTTGGCGATTTTTTACCGCTGGCTGCTGCTCTTAGATTGTGAAAAGTAAGACCAGCTCTGCGTAAAATTTGCAGCTGCAAAATGAATCTAATTTGCATGAAAAACTCTGAAAATGCCATACCAGTGTACGGCTTGCAAACAACTTTTCTTTTGCTATTTTGATATCAACGTGCAAAAAAAAAACGTCCATTATTTGTGTCTCAAGTTGTTAGTAGTTTGCATGTATATATATATATTTATATATATATATGTATATGGGCTGTGTGTGTGTGTGTGTGGCATAAGCGAGTGGCTTGGCAATGCTGCCGCCCGCTGTAACCGTTGATTTGGCAATGCTGCCGCGCTGCTTTGGCGCTGCAGTGGCTTTTTTTTTTTATTTTTTTGTTAGCAACTTGAGGGTCACGCTTGTTGTTGTTTTTGCCTCTTTAATACTTTGAATATATCTCTTCTATTATTATCGTAGGGAATGCACTTAGCACGCGTCGCTTTTGATTTTATTTCTGTCGTGTTTTGCCTTCATTGTTTACATTTACAGTTGCATTTTCTCTACAGGTAAGCGTGTGCCGAGGGAGAGAGAACATTTAGCAGCAGCTAACAATGGCGGATATTGTTTATCCCAACGGCTGTCGGCCGTTGGTTGAGGATCTGGGCACAGATGAGCTTATACGTCGCCTTAAGGTATGTGCCGATATAGTTGTATTTCTTATCAAATTAATCAACTAATGTTTCTCGCAGACATTGGCCAATGTGCTGCAGACAATGGATCAGGACGACAATTTGCATCAGCAGTATATACCTCTAGCCTTGCACCTACTCGATGATTTTTTTATGCAGCATCAGTCGCGGGATGTCCAGTTGCTTATTGCATGCTGCATAGCTGATGTGTTGCGTGTTTATGCGCCCGAAGCGCCCTACAAGGAACAGGATCAAATCAAAGCGATTTTTAAGTTTTTCATCAAGCAACTCCATGGTCTGAAGGATCCGCGTGATCCCTCGTTCAAGCGTTATTTTTACTTGCTAGAAAACCTGGCCTTTGTCAAGTCATTTAATATGTGCTTCGAGCTGGAGGACTGTCAGGAAATATTTCATGAACTCTTTAGCACCGTTTTTAAGATCATCAAGTACGGTTTGCAATTATTGCGTTGTTAATACTTACTTATTATGACACAAATCTTTATAATTGTAGTGATCAGCACAGCGTGAAAGTGAAGAACTTTTTCCTTGATGTGCTGAGTCCGCTGATAACCGAGGCAGATAATTTGTCTGTCGAGCTTTTGGATCTTATACTTATCAACATTGTGGAGCCGAACAAGTCTACCAACAAGTATGCTCACGAGCTAACTGAACAGCTACTGGTCAAAACGGGCGATGCCTTCGAGGCAACCATCAAATTGGTAGCAAATAATTATTATTAGATCTACAAATTAAGTTTTTATAATATCCTTTGTTTTTACTTAGTTCTTCAATCGTTCGTTGGTCATGGACAAGCCGAATAACAAGCTTGCCATCACGAGCAAGATTTATGATATCATCTATGAGCTTAACCAAATCAACAGTGATCTGCTGGTTTCGGTGCTGCCGCAACTGGAAAATAAGCTTCTCTCCACCGACGATGCCGAGCGATTGAGTAAGTGCTGCTGCATATGCATACAGCTATACTTTGTATTTATTTTAGTTGGACCAAACGTTTTGTTATTTTGTCAATCCATATGAAAATCTCCTGGTTAATATTTTTCAATGATGTGATCTTTAAGTTTTCATCAGTTCTCACATTTGCTTGATTGAGGAAAAACTAATTATTCTTTTGTCGTCTTTGAATAGGAGCCACAACACTGCTGGCACGCATGTTCTCAGAGAAGGACTCACAATTGTCAAAGAAGTATCCATCGCTTTTGCGTACGTTTTTCGGTCGATTTTGTGACATTACTGAGCCTGTGCGCGTTAAATGCGTTCAATCTTCAATGCATTTTCTACTCAATCATCCGCACCTGCAGTCAGAAATAACCGAAAAGCTTCGCATGCGTCATCACGATCTGGACGAGCTGGTGCGCCATGAGGTTGTGATGGCCATTGTGGAAACAGGCAAACGAAATTTTGACATTGTTGTCAAATCGCCGGAACTCTTAGAAATTGTGCGCGAACGCACAATGGACAAGAAATACAAAATACGTCGTGATGCTATGAACGGTTTGGGCTACATATATAAGCGCGCAATTTGCGAGCCAAACGACCTAAGTTCAGAGGTGAAACAGCAGGTGGATTGGATAAAGAACAAAATCATGCATGGCTACTATAAGCTTTGCCTGGAGGACAAACTGATGGTCGAACGGCTGCTCATCACCTGTCTGGTGCCGTATAAACTGGCGCCTGAGGAGCGAATGAAGAAGC